AATGATGTTGAGAAATTTACTTATCTTAAAACTTTGCTTAAGGTGAAGTGCCCACGAATTAATATCTGGATTAACATTGACAGCGAGCAATTATGAAAGAGCAATACATATGTTGACTCAACGATTTGGTAATACTCAAGCATTAATTTCGACTAATATGGAAAACTTGCACAAATTACCAAAGGTTAAATCAATAGATGACATGGTTAAACCAGGCTTGTGGAGCCGACTGTTTTTTTGACGGCTCGGCTCCGGCTCCTAAGAAATACCCGGCTCCGGCTCGGCTCCCGGCTCGGCTCCGGCTCCTTAACTTTATGAACAAAAATTGCAAAATTTTATATTTTTTTTAAATCACATTGGCCAACCCAAAACTGTACCAATTACAGCAATTAATTTTTAACTCTCATGATTACAAGGTTATTGTATTACTACTACTACAGGATATTACATTTAAAAAGAAAATTTTTTGGGGTAAATAAACACTTTTTTCTATATATTATTTACCAAAAACTAAATTTTTTGTTTCAAATTTTAGTTTTAATTCTACTCAGGGGACACAGTACTTAAAAAAGACGTCTTTTGAATGTCCCAAAGACGTCCAAAACGTTCAAAAGGCATCTCAAAGGTTTAAAAGACGTCTTTCTAATGCCCCCACTGAATCCCGTGCCCACTGCGTATCCATTGGGCACGGGACCTAAAAAATACGTATTTTGAACGGTCAAAAGACGACTGAAACGTTTAAAAGACGTTGAAAACACTAAAAGACGTTTAAAAGACCTCTTTTGTACGTGTATGCCCACTGGGTAAAGCATGCGATCGTTAAATTAAAAACGATAAAAAATTCAAAAAAAATGAAAAATTGTTTAACTAATGCAAAAACTACAAAAAATATTTATTTTAATCTAAGGAACTTTAAGATTATAAAAGTGCTTTTTACTTTAATATTTTTATTATTTCAAATAGATAAGCAAACATTTACGCTTATTAACGACATCAACTTCTCAATGGGACGGAATTGTGTGCAAATTGATGGATTTAAGCTTTTTGGTATGAATTTGATGCCAATCTTCTTAGAATAATGACAAGAAGCAAGATTAGGCGAGAACCAACAAGGGACATTGTGACTTCAATAAAATTCCAAAAGTCTAGCTTGCAAGTATTCTTTGGTCTAAACATTCAAGTTTAAAATTGACGATGTGACAAAAGCTCGAGATTTCAAACCGCAGCTGCATATTGCTTGCCAAATTTTAATCTTTAAAAAACTCTGAAACTTTGTATTCTTTGGCTCGCACTCTGTTTGATAAGCCGGGGTTTTGCGTGAATGATCGTCGAATACTAATTGCGGTTTTCTTATGCTTAAAGCTACTCTTTCACCCAGATCCTTTTGCTTGTTAGATAGAAAGCTCTTGTATTGTTTTATGAAAATGCAAACAGTAGTTTTGCTAGATTCTAATTGATAATAATAACCAATAATAATAGATAATAATAATCAAAATGTTGCTCTTAATTAAAATGTCATTGAAACATTTAGAAAAACGAAAAAAATTCTGCACAACTATTAACAAAGTCCTTCTACATCGTTAATTTCAATTGCTAAGGCATCTGCCTTAAAAAATTCGAAAAAAATTCTGTACAACTATTTACAAAGTCCTTCTACATCGTTCATTTCAATTGATAAGGCATCTGCCTAAGCAATTGAAATTAACGATGTAGAAGGACTTTATTAATAGTTGACATTTTAATTAGGAGCAACATTTTGATTCGTTTGTTGATGTTTTAAATCATAATTAAACCATAATCATTTTATGTAATTACGCGAAAAAAATAATTTAATATGTGTTAGTGACAAGTTTTAAACGAAATTTATCGTTTCAAATTAAACAATGTTCTAGTTTAATTTTAAAGATATCAATAACTTTTGATCATTAAATCGCGCATTAAATATTTAACAGCTTAGTATCAGTATAAAAATATAATATAAAGCAATATGTGCATCACTGTAATGTTTTATTTATAATTTCCTTTTTTTTTTTTTAATAAAGAATATTAAGAAATTTTATTAAAGGATAGTAATTTTTTGAGCACAAAATCGTTAGAATATTCATTTTCATTAAGTTTTGGCATAACCGTAACTGTTAGAAGAAAATATTTTCAATAAATAGAAGTTCAATAAATAATTCATTCAACAAATTAGTTTAACAATAAATGAATAAAGTTTGTCTGCATTAAAAAAATAAACATACATTCTATTCCGTTAAAAAAAACACGAGAGCCGAGAGCTCTCGTGTTTTTTTAGAGAGCTCAATTTTTGCGGCTTCGGCTCCGGCTTCACCAAAAAACAGCGGCTCCCCGGCTCCGGTGTCGCGTTAAATAAGTAGATCGTTAAATAAGTAGACAGTCAGTTCTGCGCAAGCGTAACGCATGCGCAAACATGGTGTAAAGCTTCCGTTAGGTAGGTTAAATCTATCGTTAAATCAATAATGCAAATAAATAATAAATA